TTTGTGGAGACGGGATTGTCTTTTTTATATGCCAGAGGACGTATCATATGCTGAAGAAGCAGTCGACACCTCTGCTGAGCATTTCATCCTTGAAACTCGAGCGTACTGATGAATTCCAAAGTTTCACATCTGACAAATCTGACGAACGAATCCCGTCAAGTTACCACGTCGCTTTTCAGAATTGGTTTCCGACTCAAATATGTATGGCTGAGTAGATTTACAGAGTCATAGGCGCTTAGCCACGTATTATATAAGGTGTAGAGTTACATCATTTTAAGGTGTAATGGGATTACTTTTTTATTGAAAGAAAGTGTTTAACTTTGATAACCAGACTTGAGTTTTTAGGGTTTGAATCAATGGCTGGAGAGGAACTTTATATGAAGAGTTCATTTGCAGAAACTGATTGATTTTTTGTTTATTTTCAGAAAACTTTTTTTTTTTGTTGAGTTAATATCAATCAAACTGAAGTTGAGTGGATCTGACTCATGACATGACAACAATACAGATAAGTTGGATTGATATCGTCTCAGGTGGACGATGGTTTTGTGAAGGTTTTGTGAAGGTGAATTTGTGAAGACGTGGCAATGCACGGTGCAAAAAGAGAATAAAATCTACCATTTGTAGGTGATACTTAAGGTTGAGGAGCCCAAACACTGCAGCCAGTTGCTCAGAGGTTTAGCTTTTAGCTGAACGGGAAGCTCTGCGTTTTGTCAGCGTGACCTCGAGGAAGATGCTCCAGAAAAACCCAAGAGGATAATAACAACAAATGATGATATGAAAGGTAGTCAGACAAGCTTATTGATTTCCTAAAACAGTGACGGCGTTACCACTAAAACAACGTACACTTTCTGCCAAGAAAAGAAGCCCGCATGCCTAAAGGGTAGCCGGGTTACACGCTTTAAACCGTCCGCAGCCTCAGCGCTGTCGGACCACCAGCTATTGATTTAGAGAAGTAATTTCAACATCGCAGGAGAGCAAATCAATAGGAAGTCGAGTTATCAAATCACCTTGTGGTTTTCTGGGTTTTATTTCTCTTCCTCCCTCCGAAGCCTCTCTCATTCTCTTTGTACGTCAGTGTGTCTCTCCTCAATCTTGTCCTTCCTTCTTCTCTCTTTGTCATGTCTGTCCTTCCACACCACTACTTTTCCTCTCTCTTCCCTTGACCTCTGCTCTTTCCCACTCGAGCTCGGTTTCTTGACCTCTCCTCTTTCCGTCTCCTCCCTATGCCATCCCCCTGCTTCTCGGGTTATCCTCAGGCGCTCTGCCACAAAGAATAATCCACCGCAACCTTGTCCGTGCCGGAGCCGGAATAGAACAGAAGATGCAATAACAACGATTCTCCTCTCGGTACTATTCTTGGAGAGTAAACTGAACTGAGGACGACGTGGCGCTCTCCATTTAAGCCTCATTTGGTTTGGAACAATGCGATGGAATCGATCGGGTTTTGAATTATTAAAGGCAGGAGCATGCGGCATCGCGGGGAGAAATTTAACTGCTGGAAGCTTGGAGAGAGGGGGGTCAAGAGGTCGGGAAATTTCTAGAGATGCAGCTTGATGCCAAGAGATGCAGGTCAGAATTCAAAATGCAAAGCTAGCAGCGAGGTCCGGGGTTGCTTCGTGCAGGTAGCTAGGTCCAACAAAGCTGACAGAAGGGGGTTGTCCTGGAGATGTAGTTAGAGGTGTCCTGGATTCAAAGAAAACTGGCTTTTTATGTGTTTTATTTCATTTAGTTGCCATTGTAATCCTTAAACACGCTAAAACAAACGACACAAAGGCTTCACATCCACATCTGGATTCTTTGTTTCAGCTCATCCCGAGATGATGACACGTCAGAAGTAAACATCTGCATTGTTCTGCAGCATAACGAACTAAACGTGCTGCTTAATGAACAGCAAACCAGAGCTTTCTTGTAATTCTTACTGGAATTTTTTTTTTGCATCCGTGCAGATTGAAATCCCTTTTTTTATTATTATTATTTAAGCAGGAAATACTGCGCACCACTTTTTTTATTTTTAAGGCATTATGTCTATGACTTAACTGCTACGTATTAAGTATTAGAATGTCATCTTTAGTTTCTTAATATCCCCCATTGTTGGACAGGAAAGTATTTACCAGCCCTCTGTGTTCCTCGAAAATCCATCATTAAAATGTCAAGATGCTATCACTTGGAGAGCCACAATAGATGCCCATTGCCATTTCATTTTCCTGCAGCCTCCATTGTTATGCACCAAACCGTCCTTCTGTATCTCTTTCGAAGAAGCGCTGCAGTAAGTGGCGCGCTGTCCAATTTATTTATTATCTGCTCTCTGGCCGGCAGAGCCTCGTCTCCGCTGGAGCAAAGTTTTTTTTTTTGGTAATATTATACTTTTGCTTAATTAAAACACATTCCATTTACAGTTCTATTTCAGTTGTAAGAAAAGACAATGTGAATTGCCGTTAAGTGCCGCACACACAGAGTGGAGCGGGTGGATGACTGCTGGATGTCCTCCTTGTAAATTGGACGGCTGAACTGAACTGTGGCATTTCTTTCCTGTAAGTCTGTCCCAGAAGGGCCATCATGAGATTTGTGAAATCAATTAATCTTTTCTGCGGAGCCAAAATGGCCTTCGGTTTCCTCAAATCTCCCCTGTAAATTAGGCAAATGAGCCGCGATAAGTCTTCCTGCCTCTCGTTCCCAGAAGTGGCCCCAAAGTGCCATCTTGACATCCTCGAGATTGATTTATTTTCCGTCCGAAGCCAAAGAGGCATCAAGGCCCCTATATTCCTGAAATCCCTGCTGTAATTTAGGGTCCTGAACCATGATATGTCTTTCTTGTCAGTCTTCCCCACAAGAGCTATGAAAAGGGTCGAGATATTCCCGCATTTGTCATCATCAAGAGGCGAAATGGACACCACTTCTCATGAAGAGGCAGAGCCGTTTCTCACCCTGGAACTGCCGCCTATAAAATATGCAACTTAGCATAACACCTCTCCCATCTGCGTGTCTTCCTTTCTTTTCTTCAGAAGGGCCATCACGAGATCCGCGAGCTCCGCCAGTTCCACTTCACCAGCTGGCCCGACCACGGCGTTCCCTGTTACGCCACAGGACTGCTGGGCTTCATAAGACAGGTCAAGTTCCTGAACCCTCCGGACGCCGGACCCATCGTGGCGCACTGCAGGTGAGAGCGCGAGACGTAAAGGACACCGAGGCTTTTTGTTCAGAAGATAAACTTTAATTCCCTCCCGGTGCTGTTGGTCAGCGGCTGCACAGACAAGGACAAACAAACACACACACACACACACACACACACGGCGGTTGTGTAGCTGCTGCTGCTGCTGAGAGGCCGCTACATACAAGGTGATAAAAGGACAGCTTTCATGTTTAGAAATGTTATTTTTCCAGTTCATAGTGTTGCCAGAATCTTTTTCTGAAACTCTTAAAAACAATCAGTGAAGCTTCTGTCTCCACACACACCTCAGACAAGTTGCTGTGCAGCATTTCCTTTAAGTTCAGACACTTTGTTCAAGGCAGCCACATATTACACACAGTAACTAGAGGAACGCTGCACACAAGAGCGTGCAATAAGGTGCAAATGGTCCAAGACACAGACATAAGGTAGAAGTGCTGGTATTTACAGAAATGTGCAAAACATCATTAGTACTTACAATAAGGTGCAAATTGGTGGTATTTACAATGAAGGATGTAGACAAACACAAAAAAATCTTTTTGCCTTTGAGTCATAACTTTTTTCTTTATATATGTTGTTTTGTCAATTATTGCAAAGCTTATTATTGGCTTTACAGCTTTAAGATCAAATCTTGTCATCACACTCACATTCATGCACAACCTCAGTTTTTTTTTCCCTAAAACTGCATATTATTCTTGAAAGCGTACAAAAATACTCAATAAAGCTTCCAAGTCTCCACACATACCTCAGACGAGTTGCTTTACAGTATTTCCTTTAAGTTAATGCAACAGTGTTCCATATAGAGGATATAGACGAACACAAAAAGGTGTCCGGTTTTTTGTTTTTAGGTGATAAAAGGACAACTTTCATGTTTATAAATGTTGTTTTTCAGCTTATTGTTGGCGTTGCAGCTTTAAGATCAATTCACAGTGATGCCATCACATGTAAATAGAATGCATGCATGTTGTCAAAATCTTCCCTAAAACTGCATATTATTCTTTAAAACATACAAAAATACTCAATAAACGTCCAAAGCTTCCAAGTCTCCACGTATACCTTAGATGAGCTGCTTTACAGTATTTCCTTTATGTTCATGCAACACTTTTATGTAGACAAACACAAAAAGGTGCCTTGTTTTTGTTTTTAGGTGATAAAAGGACAACTTTCATGTTTATAAATGTTGTCTTTTAATCATGGCAAAGCGTATTATTGGCTTTAAAGCTTTAGGATCAATTGATAGTGATGTCATCATGTAAATAACATTCATGCATATTCTCAAAATCTTTCCTAAAACTACATCTTTATAGCACAGAGGCAATAAAGGCTCCTAAGTCCGTTGTCTCCACATATACCTTAGACGAGTTGCTTTGCAGTATTTCCTTTAGGTTAAGGAGACTCCATCCTGGGAGTTGGCAGATCAGAAAACATCCACGAGTCATTTTTATTATCGTCTTTTGGGCCGTTTTGAAAGGCTCTGACCAGTTTTACTGTTTGTTGGTGGAAACTTTAGATTTACAGTAAACCACCACCGAACCATAACCGAGTGTCTGAAATGTATAAATCCCAATTTATCGGTGACACTGAATAATCCAGCTGCTCCGCAATCAGCTGGAGCATTTTATTTGATAATAAACTAAAAACCTCATTTGTTTCGCTGTCGGGCCTTTCCTACGATTCTCCTCTTTTTTTTTTTCTTTTACAGATAAGACAAAAGCACTGCAGGTTATCAGCACCAGCATGATCACACACACACACACACACACACACACACACACACACACACACACACACACACACACACACACACACCAGCGTCACGCGTCCATAAATTAGATCGATGGTGTTAACCTTTAAAAAGTAGACAACAGCAAAAGGAACTCACCTCCCGCCCCTCCTTCATCCCACCACCACCACCTCCAGGAAACAAAAGAAAACCCAAGAACAGGTGACAGCGTAGAGATCCCCATGGCGACAGTATATTTAACCTCCCTGTTCTGTTCTTTATGGCACCGAGGGTTCAGCTCCGAGGCCAAGTTGTTAGCAAGCACAAGCTTTCAAAGGTCAGCGTTCTGACGAGCTATGGCAAAAAAAAAAAAGGCTCCTCGTCCTGTCACGGGCATTTCTAATTAATGTATTCCGTTTAGCGACGCACCTTAGCGGCGGCGGTGTGAACGGGAGGCCTCGGTGGGGTGAAGTTCTCCAACTCCCCGCCGCGGTTCATGATTGATGCAGACGAAGAAGCAGTCGCTGCACCTTTTACCACGTGTTTCATTTACTCATGTAGATATTTCTGTTAAATAGCTGGAGACTGTTTGTTTTATCACTGTGAAGCAAACTTTCTTCTTTTTGTTTTTCTATTAGAGGATGTTTCTTTGAAAATCAGCTCACTGGTTCTGAAACTGTTAACGTCTCATGTTTAACAATTTGCTAACCGTGATTTGCAAAAAGAGGCAGTTTCACAGATTTATATGTAGACTTTGGCACCTTTTGAAATCGGTTAGTGAAAGTTTACGATCTTGGTGATGAATGCTTTGGTTTCAAAAATCTTGCCATTGATCATTTTCTAGCTGTCAAAAATACTCGATGACACAAATTAGTAGTTTGAAAAGTTTTCTAGAAGACGCCACTGACAGTTCAGCAACCAACTGCTGCTGCAAGTCTTTAAGTGGACTAAGTTTTAGGAGCGTCCCACATGCAAATATTGGTTCTTTTTTAGTTCCGTCCAAAATTGTCCATTAGAAAGTTACAAAAATGGCTCTTGAATATTTTCTCTTCTTCTGCCAACTCTCAGCTTGTTACCTCTTCAACGTAAGGAAAATGTGAGTTTTTGTGAGTAGGGAAAAAAGGAAAGACGCCTTTTCTTTCTTTTTTTTTTTGTAATATCTATCTATATTTTCAAAATCAGCGTTTAAAAAAATGTGCGGCCATGACCGCCCTCGGCTTCCGTAAGTTGCTGTGTTACTGCGTTAGATTATAGTGGACAACATTAATCAAGAATATGATGTTTTCAGGCCTAATTTTTGGAAATCATTAATATTCTTTTGGGGATACATTTCCTCATATTACAGATTTATTTATTTTTTGTTAAGATTATCGTCCAACCCGCCACAGTATCCGACCAGAGCGCGATCGCTGCAAAATTCTTACAAATTCGCACACTCCGGGGGCCTTCGAGTCGCGATCAAATTAAATCCGAAAAACTTAACACGCGATCGCTGGAGAAGGAGCCGGAGGTGAGCGGCATAATCAGACAGCTCGAGTAAAAGTATGTGGACGGGCGGGCAGGAAGTTATGGCAGTCACTTCCAATTTCCGGGGGCACTCTGACGCTATTGGCCTGTGTCATGAGGCTTTCACACACACACACACACACACACACACACACACACACACACACACACACA